AAGGCTCACAACATGGAGCGATCTGTGGAAGGTTTACTACATGGATGTTTTACTACTTTAGGCATCTCATCCCCTGATATTTTGGGGTGGGGGCATCCTGCCACCTAGGAATTGTACCAATACCTAAGCCTCTTGCTGGATAGTAACAAAACCTTAGAAGAGGCGGGTCAAGCTCTCAAAATGGAGGAAACTGCTGTAAAGAAGTTGAAAGAATACCAAACAAGGATGTTTTGGAGAAGAAGGGGGTAGCAAGCTGGGTGGCCCCAGGGGGCCAGACTGGGAGTACATATAGCTTGGATTAAACCCTACAGGCAAATTGCCTAATGCAATTTTAAATGGCAAAACATGCAATTAAGCCCAGAGTTAAAGGATCAAGGTGCCAATTGTTTTGATTTAAAAAACAAAAACTCTGGAATACAACAGTGTTGCAATTTCTCCCCAATAGCCAGCAATTTAGAACTAACCCAGTTCCTCTCAAATACTGTATAAAGCCTTACTGGTTGAATACCCTCTAGACGTTTGGATTTCAGCTTCCATCCACCTTGGACATCACAGCCAATGGTCAGGAATTCTGGGAACCGTAGTTCAAAATATTTGTGGGACAGGAGATGAAGGAAGTCTTCATTGTAAGACAATGGATCCTCACCAATGTTCCCTTTAAGCTGTGTGGCTATGTGGCCATGCAGCCGCATTGTGCTGGATACGAGCTGCGCATCCAAGCCAGCCTTGCCACTCATTTGCTTCTAGTCACAGTTGGAACATTTAAAACTCACATGAATTAGCCACCACAGAGCAGTGGATGCAGCACCATCTGTTTTGACTCATGCCTAGCGATGCCTCAAAATCATCAGTAAAGACCCCTTCCTGAATACCCTGGTAATAAGGAAAAGGCCAACTGCAGGGCCCCCCTGATTTTGGGAGGCTCACCTGAATGGTTTCTTTTTTGTTTTGTTTCGTTTTTTTCCTCAAGCCCTATATCTAACCTAGGTCTCAAGAATCTGTGGCCTTCTTCATGTTCCTGGACTACAACCCCCATTAACCCTGACCACACTTGTAGAAAACTGGGAGTGATAGGAACTGTAATCCACCAATGTCTTGAGAGCCTCAGACTCCGCAGTCCTGATCTCTCTGTGTTGCCATTTCTGAATGAGTTGCTTTTTTGCATACGGTTGGTATGTTTTTAATTTCCTTTCACAGCTTTTCTGATTCCTCCTTCCATCTCTCCATCTGCCCCCAATAAGGTGTTTTTAGCATTTGTCTGAAGAAAGGATACAATGTTCTATAAGGAATACAATAAAGAGTGCATAGTGCTGGATGTAAACCAAGGAGACACGGGTCCAAATCCTCCTATAAGCGCTACGTAAGGGTCATCCAGAGCAAACAACTACTTTGCAGCCTGATGTAACTCTTCTCTCTTTTTCTCAGGGCTGCTCTGAGGGTAACATAGTAAAGTCCCCTGTGTACACCTTAGGCTCTTCAGAGAAGGTTTGGCCACACGTGCAGTGATGCTATGAGACAAACGTCCTAAAAGCCAACGTAGGATCTCTATTGCAGTTTCAGCATGAATGCTCAGGCTGGCTTAGCCTATGACAGTGTAGCTAAACAGACATGATGATGGATTAGGAAGGAAGGAAGGACCACAGCCCCCTGCCAATCTAAAAGGTTCCGCATGAACATCAGCACCTCAGTTCTCCATTGGCAAAATAAGGTGCAAAATCCACCAGACGGCTTAATTCTAATAATTAGTAGGCGTTTATTGATATAATGAAGTGCACCAGGACTGGGCAGGTTATTTTAAAACACAGAAATACATGGTTGCAGCAGGACCTTTAATTCAGTTGTTAATCCCAGCTCCAGCAGTCCAATGAATCTATTGGAATTCACTAAATCAACCTTTATATAAATTTCCAAGATTCTATTCTAGTGGGGACTAACAACTGAATTTAAGCTAAGGATAGCTCAAATTGCACTAATTTAGCTGACCAACAGCGCAATCTTACACACATATAAAATGTAATTCAACTAGAATTACTATCTGATAATGGTAAATGTCTAAAGGAGTGCAGACCAAAATAATTAACGCATCTCTCTCTCTTCTCAATAATATATGAACTGAACACTGCAATAAGATGTATTTTAGCACAAGTGAAGCAAGCATTGTGCATTCTTCCATTCATTCATTATATATTTACACACAAAGTAACATAACCCATAGTAAAAAGTTAAATTACACCATTAATTTCTTGCTGGAGTAAGACTTGCTATTAGTTAGCATAACCACGAGTTAGGCCACACCCCTTGCACCCAACCTTAATTAAATCTAAAATACATATTTATGTATTTTTTTTTCTTGGCCATGCTAACTTTATGCTATAGAACCTGTTCTGTCTGCTTTGTCTCCTGCATTTTCGGCCAATCTTTGTCACAAATGAAAAGCTGCAAGTTCATTTCCTCCTTGCAGCAGACCATAAACGTGCATTGTATGCTTATCAATACTGCACTAAAGTAGATCTGAGTGAGATGCAAACCAAAGAGGGCAACCTGGAGGTTACAAGTAACTAAATGTGTGTGGGACACTATTATTCTCCATCTGCTAGCTGAAGAAGATCTGCTAGCTATTTCAATGCAACTCAACTGGTGACAACAACTGCACTTTCGGAGCATAAATGGAAGGAAGAAAAATGTTGCCGTGGATCACAAAGAACCTTTTGGATGTCTGATAAGCAAACATGGCAGGCAGTGAAGAAGAAGAAGAAGAAGAAGAAGAAGAAGAAGAAGAAGAAGAAGAAGAAGAAGAAGAAGAAGAAGAAGAAGAAGAAGAAGAAGAAGAATCCATTGTTTGCAAATGCAATGTAAAGATCAAGCACTTTCCACCACAGTGTGCTGGGCAAGTTTGCTCAAGTTTGAGGAGCTTTGATATAAGCACTTTGCATACAATTTCAGGCAAGATGCCTTTAATTTAGTGAAATGGCTGAGTTCTAAAGCCAAAGGATCAGTGGAAACACCCTGTATCTGAACAGTGTGCTGCGTTCACTGACAATTGTTCTGTCTCTCTTAAGCACATATTTGCCTGAGGTCTTTTAATCTGAGTGACCTAAAGCCCCAGGTGCTCATAAAATCCAGGGAACAGCTGCTCTGAAATTTTTTATCAGCCTTACCCTCTGAAGGGTTTACCTTAGGTCCACACTAAATCTCAATTTAAACAGAAGACAAAGTCATGGTGGAGACAATACAATTGATTGTCAATCTCTCATGGGGATTAGATAGGGATTAGAATACCTTTCATGCGGGGCCAGAGCCCACTGTAAATCAGGCAGACTCCTCTTGCTCTTTAGCCTCCCCAAATTAAAGTTATAGTGGGAACACCCAATTTGGACCCTCTCTGTGGATATCTGAAATCAAAATGCCTTTCTCTTGTTCTGGAGCAATCAAGGTAATTTCAAAAAAAATGCACACAAGGCTCAGAACAAACACTTTAGCTGAACTGGAGCTGTACCCCACCAAATCTCTAAATGTTTGAAATCTAACCTCAGCAACATCTAAGATTGCTAGCTAGTTAAAGAAAAATGTGACATGGCCTGTACTCCTCCCTAGTTTTGCTCCAGGTTGTTTCATACAATCTGCACATGCACGCACCACCTCCAGCAAAAACTGATTGCACACACTTTCCTAGGTAAACGGACCACCCACGGTCCCACACAAACACAAGGACAATAAAGCGAAGACCTAAGGGGACACAAATTCCTACTGCCGTTGAAGTGGCAGCGCCAAGGCATCAATTCAAAAATATATCTGTCAGGAAAAATCAAAATTCACTTTCTCAAATGGGTGTTTTTTAAAAAATGGACTGTGCTTGCTCCTGTGTCCATGTTCAAAGCGAGGTGCTTTACTTGCACTGACTATCAGGAAGGCGACAGGACAGAGGATGCGTAAGCAATGTCACTATTCCAGTAAGGTGATTTGCAAAGTTTTCCAGTTGGGAGACTCGAATTACAATCAGGAGGCCTTACAACCCTGAAGCAGAAGGATTTCCCTTTCATTTTAGGATCTAAGAGCTAACAGACTTGTTCTGAAATTGGCTTCACACTTAACCTACACTTCTTCAGAGTAGACGACATTCCCACCCCGTTTAATAAATAAAAGTAAGTGTTTCACATTTAATCCCTTTGTAGCGGAAAGGCGGCTTGGTTTACTTGTTACTGTCATGGGTCATCAAGTTGGAACGGACTTATAGAGACCCTGATAGGGCTTTCAAGGCAAGTGAGATGTTTAAGGAATGCTTTAGCAGTTCCACATCCCCAGTGACTTTCCATGGCTGAATGGGGATATGAACCCAGTCCTTTGGGTCCTAATCCATCATTGTATCCACTACACCACACTGGGTTTACCTATTTCTAACAAATCTGGGTCAGATTGTAATATAAATCTTAGGACTGGTATCCAAACATATTTCAGCTCCTTGTGGATTGATATTGGCCTATATCAATCTACAAGGAGATGAAATGTGTTTGGGTAGAAACAATACAGGACATCTCTCTGCAAGACAGCTGTATTTCCTCCACCTGCACCTTCACACAGTATCTTGCTTGCTTCCTCAGCATGGATGGTGACGGTGAAGGTCTTACACTACAATGGACCCTTTTTCTCAACAGGTTCATGAAATCCAATTGATGTGTTTGAAACTACCAAGTGTTAGAGCGGTGACTTTGCCTGTCAAACAAGGATATGTGATCACCACTGCAATAGGGGTGCATATATACGTGTGTGATACCAATCCACCAAGCAAGAGTGACATAAAATTGCATAAGAAAGAATTCCCAGCTATTTAAGTCATGTGCATCAAACGAGCAAACGGGTTAAGTTCAAAATTGCTATCTTGGCAAACCTCACATTCAAGTTTGTAGGCCACCTGTGTTCAAGTCAGTCCGGTTCGACCGTTGCTTGAGGTTGGGGCAGTGGTAAAAGCTGATGGTAAAACCCATCTAGAACCGACTCCTTACCTTCATGGTGGAAGCTCCTGACTGTATTGGCCCTGCTGGTTGCCTTCTCCAGGTTATAGTCCATGGTGGTTGGCTTCTGACCCGTGTGCAGATGGTAGAGCTCCAACATATACGGAGGAATGACCGCATTCTTGCTCGGGGTGGGCCGCCGCTGAAGCCCAAACATATTGAGCAGACGCAGCTCAAACTCGCGCAGGATGCCTTCCGAGAGCTGCAGGGGAGCAGACTGGCCCAACTCGCCACTAAACCTTCGCCGGTCGCCCACCTCTGGAATGAGGCTGGCCGAGCCACCCAGCAATATATGAGAAAGCAGCAATGCTAGTAGGCAGCAGGTCCTGGCAACCATGGTCATCAACCTGTAGACACAGGGGCAAAGTCACAGAGTGGTTTAGAGTGGAATGGGGGGGGGGTAGGACTAAAATGTAGCAAGACCAAAATGCCTACAAACAAGACTCAGGACGCGTACACTTTCCAGGCGCTTTTTCTAGCTCCTGTGCTTGGCAGGGTAGGGGGCTTCTCCAAAGCTCTACATCTAAGTTTACAGGGCTTGGAAAAGGTAGCTGTAGGGAATACAGAGTCCCTCTGCCTAGCTGGCTAGGGGATTGTGGGAATTATAGTTATAATTATAATAGAAACATTAACATTTCCAAGCCCTGTAAGCTTATAAATGGACATTTTGATTCTAGCAGAACTTTTATTACCAGCATTGATTGTGCTTTCTTTCATTTGCCTGCCATCCCCAAGTTCAGTGCGAATCCATCATCATGTTACAAAAGCTACCCAGCTCATTAGATCCACTTCGGATCTCAAAAAAACCTATAGGCAAGGTCTGAACAACAACAAATTTTTACTGATGAATCCTCTTAATTACATATTAGGCCACACAGGTGTATATGCCACAGAGAAGTGACAAATTTTCAGTGATGGAGGCAAGACAAACCCTATCATTTCACCCCGTGGTCACCATCACATGGTAAATTTTGAGAAAATGTCAGCAGGGGGCAAAGACATGACCGCTGAGCTAGATCTGGGGCACACGGTCACTCTGAACTCCTTGGAGAAAGTGGGGGTGCAACTGCTGTAAAGGAATCAGAGTGGCATTCACCTCTTTTGTAGCAAGAGACCTGGGCAGCTGGGGGCGTGGGGGGGTGTCACAGAGTAATAATAAGCAAAGAGTACTAGGTGGACCCCTGATTACACTCTAGAGATAACAGAAACAAATTTATTGATGAGCCCATGGAAAACCCTAAGGTTTGCATAGTCTGTAAGGGTAGCAAAGAACACAGCAGTGCAGCCGGAGGATGTATGGCGGAAGGGGAATGATCAGACTTGAAAGAGTAGTGAGATGATGGGATGGGATGTGGAAATGATCAAGAGGAAAGAAAGTTAATGGCAGGTGTGGCAAAACCACAAAAAGACTCTATTGGCACCTTAAAAGCCTCATTTGACACAAGTGTTCAAGGGCTGCAGCTGATGCTTCTGAAGAAGTGGACTGACACCCACAGAAACCTATGCTGGATTGAAGCAGCTAATCTTTGAAGTGCCTCAAGTCTCTTTGGTGGTTTTATCACAACAGACTAACCTGGATTAACCCCTCACTCCCAAAATTCACGAGATTACTTTGAGGAAAGAGAGTTTCATGGGGGCAAAAGGGGAAATGGGCATCTTTTTGACAGCAGTGAACGCGCAAGAAACTTTTGTCCCCGCTTGAGTTTGTAAAGGGAAACAGGTTTCGGCTTGAGGTCCATCAGTTCTCCAAGGGCCCAGAAAAGGTAATGAACCCACTTAAAACAATGTCCTGGTCTACCAAGCAATAGCCCAACTGAACACATTCCACAGTGTAGCAATCAAGGGCAATAAAACAAACACAAAATGAGATGTGCATGAGCCCATTCAAATCAAGTGCATTCAGCTGCTCCCTGGATGGTGACCTAGAATGGCTGCTTTCCTCTGCTAGCCAAATGTATGTAACCCAAACTTCATCTTTATATTTCAAGTTTCGCTCTACAGACAACCTATACGACTGTGTATTAATGGAAACCACATTTATCACCCCCCTCTCTCTTTTTCTGTCATCCTTCCTCTTTCTCTGGCTCCCCCCCCCATGCCGCATTTCAATGTTTTCTTGATCCCACATAAGCAGGGCATCACATGGGCCATAACGAAAAAGATTGCTAATGTTGGTAGATAGGTTTTCACACGTGCAAGCGGTTTTTCTCAGGTATCTTGTGTGCACATGAGGAGGAGAATGAACTCTTCCACTACTTTGGTTCGGCAGAACTGCACATGTGTTCAGCATTTCTGAACTGGCCACTTAATCGCAAAAACTGCATGCAGACATTTCTACATATTCTTTTTTGTGGGGGGGGGGAAGGAATTTCTATTTAGTTTTTCACAACTTAAGTTAGAGCTAACACTCAATGCTCTCAATTCCCCTTGGCTGTCCCTTTATGCATATATTCAGACCAGTTAACCTGTGCAATGGAATTGTTTGCCTCTTATTTGGAGGTAGAGAAACCTGGTTACCCGCAGGAGATGGGATTTACAAAGGATTGGGTGGGAAGAGGGGAAAAAACTCTGCTAACCCTCCTTTAATGTGCTGAAAGAGGGCTCAGGTTTCAAAAGCAGGAGAGATTAACTGCAGAGGGAACATGCATACATAGGAGGATCTAAGAGGGGGAAATGAGGCGTTCAAACCTGGAATCTAAAATAGTCCAGCTGCACTCTTTGCGGCAGCTAAAGGAAGAAGCCAGGGCTATTCCGGAGTGTGAACGGGGAATCCGAATGAAACGTGGGGAGGGGCGCGGAATCCGAATTAATCCACCCAAGCGGGCTGGGGGGGACGACGTGACCAGGTCAGTCTAACTTAATGCCCCACCCGCCCCCGATCCCTGCTGAAAGGGTGACCCAGCCAGAATCCGCGGCAATGTTACATAGAAGAAGCGCCGCTTCCCTGGGGCTCAGCCCACCCACGATCCTGAGCACGGGCTGGGCTTTAGCAGGGCGCCCCTCGGGGGATCCGCTGGCCACCAGCCGCGTTAAAGCGACCAAGGAAAAGCAGCGTCTCCGGAGGGACGAACCGGGGAGGGCGAACGCGGCGAGCCGGGTTCCGTGATGCGTCAACTGCAAAGGTGGCGTTTAGTAGAGCGGGGGAACGCTCGGCGAGGAGCAGCAGAAGCAGGCTCGAGTCCACCGACCCTTGTGCCAAAAAAAAAGAAAGAAAGGGGGGGGCACTTCTTACGTCTTTAAGACTCCGCAAGACTTTTCGGAGTAGCGGTGGGGAAGAGCTTTTTCCTTTCCCTACGCTAACAAGAGTAAGGCGGCCACTCCACTGGAAACGGGGATCATTGATCTCGATAGGAACACCCTCCGTCGTAATCGTAACAGCAGGTTTTTGAGAAATTAACGGAGAGAAAACTTTGGCTGTTAACGGAGGGAGATGCTGATTGTGAACCGTGTGCGAAATGTGTGTGTGTGTGCACGCGAGCGGAATCTCCCCCGTGGGAGGGGGGAGAGGGAATCCCCGCCATAGGATGCTTCCCGGCAGGTGCTGACATCTGCCGAGCCCGCCTGGACGCCAACCCTCGGTCCCACCCGCCTTGTCCTCCCTCCGGGAGCCCCGCTACCTTTTAGGATCCCGCCGATCGCCTAAGAAGCAGCAGCTGCGGCAGCAGCGCACTCGGGCGCGTCCATCGAGCCAACCTCCACATGGACCTCGCCGGGCCGATCCAGCGGGCTTGCGCGATCCGTGCGTGCGTGTGTGTGTGCGCGCGCGTCGCCCGTTCCCCTGCAGCTCCGGCCACGGGATGGGGTCCAAAAAGGGAAGCAGAGACATGGATATATTAATCCTGTAGTCAGAAATCATATAATAGATAAGCTGGTGTGAAAAATACCTCCCCACTTGTATGTTCTGTTAGTCCTGTATGTTTTGCTAGTCTTATGTGTTATTGTTTTGTAGGGTTTTGTTTGTCTTGTAGGTATGTATGTTAAAAAAATAATAAAAATGTTAAAAAACAACAACAAGAAACTGGCTTCTATTAACCATTACTGATAGGAGATGGTACTTCAAACAAAAGGTTACAACATTTGAATGGGTTCTTGAATCAAGGAATATTTGCAAGACTGAGAGGGCGCTGCCCTGAGGCCGAGCTCCGGGGCAGGGAAGGCGAAGCCGGCGTCCTTCTCCGGGGCCCGATCCGCCTCGGAAACATGACCGGGGTTCCGCGCTGGCAGAAGAAGAAGAAACGAAGAAGGAAAAGAAGGAGGGGCGTCTCCCCCAAAAGAGATGGAAGGAACCCCCCCAAAGTGTCCCTCCTTCGGCGACGAGGATCCTGCGGAGGATCGAGGCCGGCGACCCGGCAGGTCCCCCCCCTTTTTTTTTATCCACGGGGATGTGTGGCCTTCCAAACCCGGGGGAGCTCCCTGCTCGTCTCTCAAAAATATGTCCTTGGCATCAGCCGCTCCATCGAGTCGGATTCCGGGCGAGATCCCACCCAGTCGCCGCTGCCGCACTTCTGTTGGTTCACTTTTTCCTTCTCTGGGTCACGCGCAGCACTTTTTTGTTCCTGGTTGCGCGAAGATGAAGCGGGAGGAGCGCCCGCCGCGCCAGCCAGCGAGGGAGCGAATCGCTCGGCGTCCGAGGCTCCGGTCGGCCAGCCCTGCCTGCCTGGCTCTCTTGCTCTCTTTCCCGGCCGCCGGTGCCGCCGCCGCGGCTCCTCTTCCTGGTCCTCCTTCCTGCTCGCCGACGCCCCGCAC